TCTGGCGAGCTCATAACTCAAGCGGGAGGCAACACTACCCTCGAGAGCATTCTTATGGTATCGAGCATCGGTGAATCACATGATTTCAGTCTTGAATTCTATCCAGATACCTTGAAGAGTATCAGCATTCGAGTGCATGTCATAGGGCGCCTTACTAGGGGAAATTGAAGAAATGGATGTCGTTGTGAAACAGTATGTGTCGCGTTGCATTTCGTGTGCCGAAGGTCTGTGCAGCTTTGGAAATTCGACTGGCTGCAAGAGTTGCCCCCCAGGGTGGTCGTTTTCCCCCTCGACCGTCACACCTTTGGCGGGATACTGGCATTCAACATCCAAATCGACACAAGCACATCAGTGTATACGAATAGATGCATGCAAATTTGACAACAGAGATGAGAACCTGACGGAGCAAGCGAGGAAGGCACACAAGGAGGGCTTGTATCTGGACTACCTTAACAACACTCAGTACACACAGTGCGTCAAGGTAAGGGACGCTCAAACTGCTGCCTATTCTGAAACTCCTGCCTTTTGTTGTTCAGTAGATTCATTTGAGGTGCCCACCAGTGCAATGACCTGCTATTCTTGCAATGATGCAGGAAAAATTTTCCAACAGCATTCATTAACTTGATTCTTGCTACTGCACCACAACTTACAGACAAATTGCCCTGTGCTTCGCAGGGCCATCACGGAATTCTATGCGGTTCTTGTGACGAGGATTACGGGCAACTGAGACTGGGCATGTGCATAAAATGCGGAAAAAGAACAAGGTCAATCATTTTCATGACGACGTTCGCCCTTCTTCATGTGATATTGGTCTTGGCCGTGACGAAGCAGGCATTATCTTTGCCCATCGGAGAACGATCCGAAAAGCTGGACACATCTGGTGGCAAGACTTCCGGTTCGTGTTCGTCCGTTGAGTTAATGGCTTCCGAAGATAGACCAAACAGAGCGGTAAAGAACTTCGCTGCCGATATTTTCAAGGTGAGTGATGCCGCGCGCTGACAGTGTGTGCATTCACCAAAGCAGTCTTTGTAATTTTATCAAAGACAGACCATTTCTCTCTTCGCATCTTTTTCGGCCCTACAAAGACAGCACACGCGCGAGCGCACCAAAGCGGTATTGTGCGCTAATGGCTTTACGCCCCGTGAGCCATGGGATGCACACGCTCATGCGCATTCAGGCAAAAATGACATTTCACTATCAGGGCAAACTTTATTATGTACATATTTCTTGTGTGCATGATGGTACATTTCTCGGCTTTAGGAGCAGATATTATTGCCGATAGCGTTCCGCACCGGTCGTGCTTCCCCAGCATATTGTTTGTTGCAACAATTTGCATTGATGATGGAACGTTTCGTTTCACATTCAAGTGGAGGTGTGGACCGAGTCCCTCGAAGGCAGTCTGTCATCATTCATTGCAGATGAATTTGTGTGCCAAGACTGCTGAGTATGTGGACTATGTTGTCCCGACCTAGACTCCCCTGCAAAACCATGACGCTGCACTGCGATTTGAGTTGCCAGGGCAGGGGGATGTTTCTTTTAAGTCCAACACAATATTTCCCCATTTCACACAGAATTAAGACTCCTGAAATTTAAAAACTGGGTTGCTGTGTTTGCATGCACACACTTCTTTTGCCTCAATGCTGCTCAGTAAGCCCTGTGTGCACGCACAGGCCCTGTTCAGTTCGTGTGGTTTTTTATACACTGATTTTCTTCTGTTATGTTCAAACTTTGAATTATGGTATAACCGCCAGGTTATTCAGAGGAAGGCGCATGCAGAGCAGGCGCATATGTTCGGCCTTGTTGAAACTTCAGAACATCGCGAGCTGAACAATAACATGGAAACTAAGTATCCAAAAAACGCCACAGCCGCGTGCCAACCAGACATCCTGCTGTGGGGTCCGTCGCCGTTCGAGGCGGTCAAGTTGACTATATTATTTCCCAAACAGCATGCAAGAATGCGCCATACGCTGGATACAGGAGGCCTTCACAATTCGCGGCAAATCCTATGCATTGAGCAGGGCACGGCGAGGCCGCCTTCTGATGTGCATATCCAGCATATAACCCCCAATTCAAACGAGGCACAGCTTTGGCAATGCCCAATTCCTTGCATCCGTGCTCCCTTGACTGGCTTGACGAAATGCTCTGCTGTTTTCTGCCGCGTTTGCAACAGATAATAATGAATTTTCTGCAAGTCACTGGAATTGCATTCTTCATCAATGTGAATTGGACATCGTCTGTCGCGGGGATGCTGGGATTCGCAGGTGCGTGATTCTGCCCCTATTTTCCAGGTGGCAGAACAAACGGAGTAGAGAAGAAACGGAAGTGTCAAAGCTGTGCAAAATTTTGTTGCGGACAATTTACAGAAAATCTCAGATTATTCTTCAAGCCTTCTCACAGGAATGAAAGTTCCATGGTCCGTTAGTATGCCCGGCAAATCTGCAGCGGAACCGCATACTTGGGTTTAATGGAACCGCCTCCAAGCGTGTCCAAAAGGATTTCACGAGGCCCAGCAGCGTTTCCATATCTTTAAACATCAAATTATTTAAACGATATGCAGTCCAGCATGTGCAAGAGAATTTCCATGGATGAAAATTATCTAGTGTATGTATATATATGGAACAGTGTGCTCTTCGTGCCGCAGTTGTGTGCATCCATCGAGATCGGATTTCCGTTGGCAGTATCTTACTGAGAAGATTCCGGCAACTGGTACTGTCCAGATTCGGTGGCATCATCAGGAAATGGAGGGTTGTTTTCTGTCGAGTGCGCCTTTGCGTCGGGCAGCTCCATTCCCCGTTCCATCAGAAGCACGATTGTCTTGACACTCTTCCCCTTCGCGGTGATCCTGTTGCTCTACCTGTCAACCGCTTTTTGGTCCTGTATCACCCGCAAGGGTACCAAGCAACTGCGGCGGCAATTGGAAGCCTACGCACTCTCGGTGTTCTACGTGTCCTACATTGACGTGACTCGGAGGGCCCTTCAGATCGTGCATTGCACGGGCGTCGACAAAGGCGGGCAGGACCCTCCGGGCCAGGCCATCGCCCTGTCCAAATACTGGATGCAGGACACAGACGTTAAGTGCTACCAAGGGAAGCATTTGGTGCTGTTCTTGGCGCTGATGGTGCCTATCGTCGCCGCTGTTTCCTTGGGAATGCCGATCATGCTTCTGATCAGGCTGTCGCGGAACAGAGATCAATGGGGCCCGGACATGGTCATATACGGCTTCCTTCATGAGTCCTATCGCGAGGGATACCGACATTGGGAGGCGGTTATCATGATGCGAAAGGGAATTCTGGCTGCCATCGCGGTGTTCTCCCACATTATTGGGGAGAACCTCCAAGGCCTTTTGGCCCTGGCGGTGCTGGTGATTTTCGCGAGCATTCATCAAACGTCCAGGCCGTTTGTCACAGACGGATGCAACCTGAACCAGATGGAATTTGCTGCGTTGCTGTGTTCGTCCCTCGCTTTCTTTGTTGGCTTGCTGTTCAATGACGAACATGTGAGTCAGGCAGGAAGGAGTGCGCTGTCTGCAATGTTCATCGTGGTTTTGGTGGCGGTTCTGTTTTACCTCACATCGCAGCTGGCTATCGAGCTAATCAAGGGGCTGATAGCTTCATGTCTGAAGGAAAGATGGCAAAAATGGCAAGTGCGCCTTCCTGCCGAAACACTGGGTCAAGGCAAGAAACAGGAACCTTGCTTTGAAGGCTTGCTTCTCTGCATCCAAAGAGCTGCAGGGTGGCGATCTTGTTCCGTGTTGAGACAGGGCACAGAAAGAGGTGGAGGTTTGGAGTTAGAAGCTGCGACTGCATGAAGCGGAGTCGTTGTTGCTATTAACCACGAATGATGTGGTGGATTCGAAGGAGCGCTTTTCGCACTGTGTGCGAGAAAACCTGCGAATCGCTTGGGGAAAGTTAATGGGGGTCCTGACTTTGTTTCTTTTGCTAGAATTTGCCCGTATTGAAGTGACAGCAACCGCGGATAGGACAGCGCGGTGCACTAAATGCACTGAAACTTGTATGCGTCCCGTCATTGTCAACAAGTGTGTGCTTCTGATACGTGAAGTTCACCCATTCTTTGGGATACTCTTTGCCATATTTTACACCTGTGCCTGCAAGAAGACATTCCAAGAGATGGTAAATTGCCACTGGCAATATGTGCGCGGCCACCTATGAGGTGCAAGGGCACCGCTTTGTTTTGTTGAAAGCAACTTCGAATAAGAATACAGAACATGACCTCTGCATGGTTGGACATACATGATACGGCCTCCTATTTGAAAGGACAAGGTGTCGCAAGGGGGGTCACATGCTCCAAATGCGACCTTCACAAGTGCTTCTAAGTCCCCACATAAGATTGGAATTGGCCCCAACACACGGCTGGGCACTTGCGAAATGGCAAACAACAGGGGCAATGAGGGCGTGGATGCTGTTTCAATGTGGATGGTAAGCAGGATGCTTGGCCTGGGATTGAACCAGGTGTCACTGGGTGGGATGCCCCACTGCTCTAACACCCCCCCCGGACCAGTGGTAGGGGGTAGGGGTAGGGGGAGTCCCACCCCTTAAGTACCAACACCCAACAGACGCCCACCCCCCTTGACCTGTGCTACTGATCGATCAACAGGTTGATTTATCGAACCATTACATAACGCTCACCGCAAATTGGACCCATCGGCCCCACCGCCCAAACGTGAGCCCGTCCTTGCCTCCCACCCCCACCCCCCCCTCCACGCCGCTCCTCCCCCATCGCCCCCGCTCCCGCTCCTCAGCCCCCCCACCCCACCTCCGATCAACCCTGCCCAACTCCCAACTCCCAACCTCATCCCTTCGATTCGACTTCTGGGCATGCCGCCAGCAGATGCGGCCCCCGTGCCCGGCGGCAACGCCCAGGCCGGCGGCGGGCAGCAGCCCGGGGCCCCCAACTTTTTGGCGTCGGCGCTGCGCATGATGTTCATGTGGTGGTTCTTCAGCTACCTGCGGGGCAACAACGTGAAGACCCCCCCGGGGGAGATGATTTCGCCAAAATGGGACCCCGCTCAAGAAGTGGACGCCTACTTTTTCATTCACGATCGGCCGCACTTGAGGCGCGAGGAGCTGCAGATGGAGCCCGTGTGGGAGGTGGGGGGCATTGGGCTGTCGAGCGTGGAGGAGCGGGCGCGTAACGTCACCTACGAGCCCAGCACCGGGGTGCGTAACAACGGGAGCGTGTACTTGCACGCCTTTTTCGCGCACAGGGGGTGGTCGATCTGCTGCGGAGGGGACCCGGATTTTGACGCAGACAAGCTGTTCTGGGCGAAGACGCAGCTGAATGCCTACATGCCCAAGCCCAAGGAAGTCACAGCATTCAACTTGCTGAGTTCATCGCCTGGAGATGAAAATGGTCAATCAGAGGCATCTGGGGAGGGTGGTGAGGCCCCTGAGGGGGGCAATGCCACGGAGATCGTCAGCTTTTGGAAGCCTGCGGTCACGGTGGCCATGGTGCAAGAGTTTGGCTCCTACCCCAAGTCCAGGGTGCTGCCGCACCACAAGGAGCACATGGTGGTGGACGAGGATGGCCAGCACTACTACCCGCTGGTGTTCTTCAACGAGTTCTGGCTGCTGAGGGACAAGCTGGTGCAGATCAACGACAGTGTGGAGGCTCTTCAGCTGGAGCTCACCCTGGCGCCCATGACGCCGTGGATGTTCCAGCTGTTCTTCCAGATGGACCAGTCGTTCTCGATGCAGAAGCAGATGGGGCTCTCCCAGGAGACAGACTCGGACGATTTCAAGCGCATCCTCATCGAGGGGAACCCCATCCTTCTGGGAGTCACCTTTGTGGTGACGCTCCTGCACACAGTCTTTGACTTCCTGGCGTTCAAGAATGACATCGGCTTCTGGAAGGACAACAAGTCGATGGAAGGGCTATCGGCGCGCACCGTCGTGATCAACTGTGTGTGCCAGGTGAATGATGATGAAATTCCATTGATTGTGTGTTAGCCACCAAGGGCTGTGTCGCCACCAAACCCCTTGAGAACAGTGTGTTCATTGTTCATCCCAGTGTTTGTCTCACTCATGTGCTGACTATCTACCTCCACATACGGGCATACTAATCATCCAAATGGCGTGTGCCAGGCGGTCATATTCCTCTACCTGCTGGACAACGAGACCAGCTACGTGGTGATCCTGAGCTCGGGGGTGGGCATGCTCATCGAGTTCTGGAAGATAACCAAAGCGATGAAGGTGGAGCTGCTGTGGCGTGAGGGCCTGGGCGGGCTGCGCGTGCCCTGGCTCAAGTTCTCGGACAGGGACACCTACACCACCAGCCAGACCAAGCAGTACGATGAGGAAGCCACCCGCTACCTGAGCTACGCCCTCTACCCCCTTGTGGCCGGGTACACGATCTACAGCCTGATCTACGAGAAGCACAAGTCGTGGTACTCCTGGCTGCTGAGCTCCTTCGTGGGGGCGGTCTACACCTTTGGCTTCATCCTCATGTGCCCCCAGCTGTACCTTAACTACAAGCTCAAGTCTGTGGCCCACCTGCCATGGCGCCAGCTCACCTACAAGTTCCTCAACACGATAATCGACGATCTGTTCGCCTTTGCCATCAAGATGCCCCTCCTGCACCGCCTCTCAGTCTTCCGCGACGATGTCGTGTTTCTCGTGTTCCTGTACCAGTGGTGGCTGTATGGAGTGGACAAGACCCGGGCCAATGAGTTTGGGTTCTCGACGGAAAAGCCGGCTGAGCCTGCAGGTGAGATCGCAGATGGCGTGGATGCAACCGGGGGTGGTGAAGGGCAGCTGGACCAAGGTGGGGCCCAGCTGAGGCGGCGGCGGCAAGGGGAGGGCGCGGAGGCGCAGGAGGCAACAGGCGATTCGATGGCCGAGGCTGCCGAGCCGGCAGGAAAGAAGGAGCAGTGATGCGGATAGTTGAGAAGGTTTGCTTGTGAATTCCTTTGGGTCTCTGTTCTTTGGGATCGCAGAAAGGGGGTTTGTCTCTGGCGTTCCTTTGCGCAGCATTTGGTTGCACTGGGCCATTTGAGGATGGGGTGTGTGGATGGTGGGAGGGGCTTTTGGGGTTGAATTCCTTTGGGGCACATGTGCCTTGGCAGGATGGAACGACGCCTTTGCAGCTTTGAGGCGCTGGGGGAGGCTTGTCTTGTGTGGCCAACTGCGAATGCTGGGTGAGAAAAGCATGTTGGGCTGGGAGGTGTGTGGAGCAGGAAGTGCCACTGCGATCAGAAGGCTTGGAATGGCAGAGGTGCATGCAAGCAGGTCCGTTAGAGGTGCCAGCTTGAGATGCACTGAATGGTTCTGTTGGTGTGGCAGATGGCCATTGAGTGCAGGCGGTTGTTGCCCATCTCCGATCTGTTGCGAACAGCCTGCAGCCTATTGGTTGGCAGAGTTCAGCACTCGGCTGACGACTGCCTTTGGTTGCCCCTGTGCCTTGGGCGATTTCAGGCTGTGGCAAAGGCGGTGTGTTGTCATGTCAATGGAGGCATAAGGATGTCGAGGGTGGCTTTGCGGTTGTGTGGAATTTGGGGCATTTGTGCCAAGTTGGCCCAGCCGCAGGTGACCTGACAGGAGGGGTTGGGGGAGTTGATTGACAGACTGATTGCAGGATCCATGAGAAATTCATGTAAGAAACAGAAATGAAAAGTGTTAGAAATCACCACAAGAGCGTGCCATGGTACTCATGACAAGTTTCAAGCAACTGTGGAATGCCTAAGCTGACATGGACAGTTGCGAGAAACTTGGATCGACTCAGGAGGGGACTGCTTGGTTGTTCTTGCGCAACTGGTTTTCCTCATTACTTATCTGTGTTTCTTGCATATTGACAATCTGCTCTCAGCCTGCCTTGTGCTGACTAGGTGTGTGGGGGCATGACCCTTTGGAGCAGAAAGGAACAGTAAGGTGCTGGCGTTTCTTGTGCTCGTGTCCACGATGTTGCATCCTTGGCAAAAGGAGAATCAGCCAGAGCTCAAAGCACTTGTGGCTGCAATTGCATTTGGGACATTCGCCTGGTTTTGGGAATCACTTACAGCCATGCAAAAAGTGCACTGCTTGCTTTTCACATTCTCTTGCTGAGCATTTTGCCAGCGGCGATGCACGTCCTTAGCTGGCCATGCAGCATGGCACGCCTATGGACGCCCAGCGCAACATGGCAAGCCAGGCTCATTGCCAGGCCACGCCAGAGAAGATGCAAGCATTGCGGCAGTCAGCTTTTTCTGTCACCACCAGCACCATCATACAGTCAATGCATTTGCACAGTCTATTTGGCAATGTGATCAGCATACTCTTGAGGAATGACAGTGGCCTTACTGGCCACCACACTTGCAGCTGCAGCTCCCCTAACCAATTGTTTCTCCAACAAGCTGCGTGTATCGACGCCCGCTTGCAATTACATTGATGGTCAGCATCAATCAACAGCATTACACCATCACAGGGGAACCGGTCTCTAAACACGTTCCCACTCAGGAATCGCTTGCCCTGAGTCAGGCCAGTGTTGTCCATCTCAGCCACAGGAAAAGGTGTTGAAGAAAAGCGGAGAGTCTCCTGATGTGGCGTGACAAACGCACCGCCTGCTCAGAAAACGTTCACAACGTCTGGATGTGCACCTGATGTGCCAACACTGCCCACGCACCCAAAGACGTTTTTGCCCGCAGGGGGACAAGGTGCGATTGGGAGCAACGAGCAACAAACTCGGCGACCAATTTACTTTAAATCTTGCCAGGGCACAGAATCACTCTTTCCCACGTTCATGCTGTCCATACAGCCCCCAAATACGGCATTCCTCGTCCCAGGTGCAGTTCTCTCTGTGCTACCCAGTTCCCATCGAACCAAGAGATCTCTGCATCAGCTCTCATAGTAAGTTGAGCGTCACTTCGAGACTCTTGCTCAGGAAGTTGCCATTTTTCCATGGGCCACTGTACCGCAGCTGCCCATTGCACCACCGCTTCAAAGGGCTGCCTTCCCATCAAAAGGGTCATCCTCGAGAATCTGGGTCCGTGCCTGCGGCTGAACAACAGAGTCACCAGCTCACTTGGGGCTTGATGTTACCTGGAGAAAGATCTCGCGTGGCACACATGCCACTTCTGTGCTTCAGCAATCGTAGCAGTTCCGCATCAGCCACACTGACTCTCTGGCGACCTGAACATTTATTTCATTTGCATTGGCAGGGTTGAATCTGTGCCACAATCTTCCATCGGCAGTATTGGGGGCTCCGCAGTGGTCAGTGGTGAGAACAAAGCAAGTGCTACAGTAACATACATTCATTGCAGTGGTGTTCGGTGGGTGTGGCGGGGGCCATGCGTGGGATGATGCCCAGTGGCACACTGCCAAGTAATCGTTGCGGAGCAGCCCCAGACAGGGACCTCGATAGCTTGGGCATCAGGGAGTCTGGGTGAGTTGGGTGGGGTGGACAAGCGATGCGGTATGTACAAACAGTAAGCGAGGGCATCATCCCGACGTCGCCAGGGCAAATGTCGCGATATGATTCAAGGCACCAAGTTTCCAGTTTGCCTGGGTGAAGAACGATTGCATACATCACTGCTGTTATATTCTTACAGGTCTTTGATATACATGATACTTCAAGTGCTCTTTATCATCACGCGTATCCATTTCAGTCTGCTTGAAGGATCATAAAGCCCAGTCATACACAGCAGCAGGGCCAGCAATGCACCAGGCAGAACAGCTTTGCGCATATTCAGATGTTGGCAATGCCAACAGAGGGATGCAGGGTTGTTAAAACTGATGGGTTGTTCAGGTTTGTGCCTCACGATCGATGCCCATCGACAACGAATATAGACAGAAGAACAAGAGCAAATCATGGTGTTTGGCACTTCACATCAATGTGCCCAAACAGCTCAGAACCACATCCACGTGGAGAAAGGGCCAAATTGTGACCACTCAGCTTGCTCACAACTCTGTTGTCCAGAACATACTTTGCATGGAACAATGCCCATCAGCCTATCAGGCACAAGGGCAGGGTTCTCTTGTTGTGTTTGAAAGAAGTAACCAAACAACTGCACTCACCATTGCTTTTACCACTGCCCCATATCATAAACATGATCACGATCATCAACACGATCTGATGCACGCATTTGCTCTGTCAGTTGGTGCTCAATCAATGCATTTGTGTGCGCATTTCGTTGACGCCCATTCCCTACGTGCGTGCATGCACTCCATTGTGTCTCGGCGCATACATCCAAGGGTGTCATCTACAACATGAACAACACGGTTGTGCCCTGCAGACTCCTTTTGGCTAGCCAAGACAGCTTTGCACCAATTTTCTCTGCAGATAGATGTGCTGGAGTGGTGCTTAAGCCATACCATGGATGCCCATGGTTCCCCCAATAAATGCACCATGGAGATATGCAGCACCAAATGCCAGGTGCTGCTTGTAGCCCACCACAGCATCCATGCGCAAATATCCCAAGCAATCCGAACAACATCAATGAAACATCTATGCACAGAAATTTGAGCCATTTCAGTGTGGGCTTCTTCACTGCCCAGACAATGCGTGCGCTCATGCACTGCCTCAGGGCTCAGTCCATGCATCCGCGGGCGTCATCGACCATGTAAACCCCATCATCGTGTTCCGCATGTTCAGTGTCTCCAGGGCATCGAACTGCTCCACCTGCGCAACAGCACATTGGCATTGCAGTCCTTCACTGAAACGGCGGCCTTCCTGTAGTTTGAATGCGAAACTCAGGGATCACTCAGAGATGCCACTCCACTTCCATCACATGAAATTAAGCTCTCATCAAAAAAGCCAAATTTTCATCAACAACACAGAAACAACAGCTCAAAAAAGACTTACAACTCTACAAACTCAAAAGAAACTCCAAAAAATAGAAACTTAAAAGACTACAAACACTCACCACCCACCTGCGTGCCCTCAAGGTCAACCGTTGTCAGGCTGGCGATCCCCAAGATGGCCTCCAGGCATGAGTCATCCACCCCCGTGCCATACAGGTTTAGGGTGTGCAGCCTGCACAGGCCCGACAGGCACATGATCCCCACTCTGCCCACCCTGGTCCCCTTCAGGCTCAGGCATTCGAGGGCACTGAGGAATGAGTAATTCGCCAATGCAGCATTGCCAACGGGGTTGTTAGCCACGCTGAGCAGCTTCAGGCGGGCCAGGCACGTCAGTGAGCCTGCCACCAAGTCGCTCATCCCTGTGCTCTCCAAGTGCAGGCACTCCAGAAGGGTAAGCGCAAGCAGATGCTGCATGGCCACCATGTCGATCTGGGTGGAGCTGAGGTCCAGTGACTTGAGCCCACTGAGCGAGGCCACCAGCCAGATGCCCTTGTTAAACAGGGGCGTGTAACACAAGTTGATGGACCTCAGCCGGGTGAGCACAACCAGCAGTGTAATGGCATCACTGGTGGTGAGGGTGCCCGCCAAGTTGAGCTCCTCCAGGGCAGACAGGCTGGACAGGTTGGCAATGCCATCTTTGCTGATCCGGACCTCGGCGAGGGAAAGCGCCCTGAGTGCTGTCAGGTGCTCCAGCTCAGCCACATCTTCATTGGTCAGGCTGGTGGCATCCAAGTCCAGCCAGGTGAGACCTGTCAAGGCTCCCAAGCAGGTGAACCCCAGTGCATCGCCCAAGTCCACGCAACTCAGATCCAGACTCGTCAGGCCGGACAATGAAGGAAGGAAGGTCAGCCCCTCTGCCCCAGTGTGCGGGATATTCAGATTCAGTGCTGTGAGGTGGGTGAGGGAGGACAGGCAGTGCAGATTGGTGATCTGCTTGCAGGAACCCAGGAAGAGACACCTGAGCTGGCTGTGGGCCAGCAACAAGGCTGCATCTTCCTGTCCTGCATAGCCTGTCTGGTGAATGCGTACACATGTCAGCCCCGTGCATGCAGACAGATGAGAGATGCCCTCCGTGCCAATGCCAGTGCCAGTGGCAATGAACGATCTGAGGCAGGTCAAGCAGGAGAGGTGCATGGCTCCGTCATCCCCGGCGGAGGTGTTGCTGAGGTCAATGGAAATGAGGGCAGTAAGGGTGGCGAGGGCTGCCATGCCTTGATCTCCAACACGTTTGCACCCCTCCAGGTTGAGCTCTGTCAGCCTTGTGAGTCCAGCCAGGCCTGCCAGGCTGCTGCTCTCCATGCCCGTACGGGACAAGTCCAGGTGCCTCAGCTTAGCGAATGCCGACAGCTGAGCAAAGACTTCGCTGCCAACAAGCGTGTAGGAGAGGTCAAGGGCAGTCAGAGATTGCACAAGGCCAAAGATGTGGGTGGGGTCTCCGAGCCAAGGTGCCCCAATCGCTGCCTTTATCTGCTCCACTTGGCCCTTGGGCACCACCACTGTGGCAGGAAACTTAGCACCAAATGCTGCGACGTCGATCTTCAGCTCCCGGAGACCGTCAAATCTGGTGCCCAGAGCACATAGAGCATCCCCCATCGTGCCCACATAAGGCAGCTTTCTTCTGGATATGGTCACGCGATTGATGGCCAATCTGTCCACAGCGCAGCACCATCGACGGCTGACAAGTCGAAGGGATGTGAGGTTGGCCGACGGCACAGCTTGGGCGATGGACCCAAGTACGTCCATTGGTAACACCTCCCATGGCCCCTTTTCTTCCCCAGGAGCCTGGATCACACCAAAGGCTGTCTCTCAACACTTGCGCACACTCCCGCACACATTCCCTTGAGGGAAATGTCAGCTTCATGCTGGACAGGGGTACTTGGACATGAGGGAATATTGGGTGTTTTTGCAGGGGCCAGTGAAAGACAATTCCACTGCTGGATTTACTTGCATGGAAGAACAGCAGTAGCAACTCGCACATAATTTTGTGCATGCTTCCTGCTTTGGCTACTCTCCTGCTGTCTGTGGCTCATGCAGACTTGAGTGGAGGAGGCCCAACATATTCTTGGTGAGAGAGTTGCTCTATTGTATGGCATGTGTGCTGTATGCCAATATACATATCATTTGCACACACGCTTGCTGTACAAGCTGCTCAGTGCTGTATGCCGTCTCTTGTGAACTCAAGAGTCTTCTGCATGATTTTGAACAATAACAAATCAAATCTCATGACAGGTATGCCTCTTGACATTTGCATGCATGTCTGCCCGGAAGAATATATGCGTATAGAAATGGCAGAATAAGAAATCCGTACACTTACTTGCTCCTCAACAACCACATAAACAACCGACCTTTCATACCTTTCTTCCATAACGACCAACAGAAACACTGGTGAACAAGTATTGTACAAGATGAGAGGCAGAGGCGATTCAGTATCCTGGATTCTGATAGCAGCTGTGTGACAGACGTGGGCTGCAAAGATGAGTCAGGATTCTGGAATTGGAGAGCAGCGTGTTTGGAAACAGAAAAGGGCACCAAGGAGAAGGCGCACAAGATCTGGATGCACTGCAGGTGCATGGTGTAACATTTCGATGCGGACATCAAACTATGGCGAAAGTGTGCTGCATTGCAAGTGGTACAGACGTTTGCACGGAGCAGGGTGCTGCTCTGAAGATAAGATTCGTTTGTTACAGCGACAAACAGGTCATACATGGGCCACTCCCCGCACTCCTAAGCAGGTGTTGGTGAGACTCTTTTCCATACTGCTCTGAAGAAATCAAGAAGAAAAAAGAAATCAAACAAAACCAACAAGAAATCAAGAAGAAATCAAACAGCATGCTGGGTCCACACACAGGCCCCACATTCCCTGGTGATCGCACTACGAACATGCCAATCTCCCCACATCAGGTCATCCAGAGCACCAGTGTGGCCATCGCATTACTTGGGTTTCTCAGTGGCATTTAGCAGGGCTTGAAGGAGGGGACAGGGCATCCAGGTCTCAATTTGGAGACAATAAAGGACATAGGGGTGCAGCATTGCACGTGACCTCAGCTTCACACCAAAGCACGAGGGGCCCACAATCGTTGGCAGCCACACAATGTCAATTTCCACCCTCTCCCATATTTTCACTTTGCTTTTAAGATTCATCAATTCATCCACTCGAGCACATCCCGCCTAAAAATGTGGAGATCGTCCACAAAGTCGCTGCCGCTGCTGGGGTAAATCAGCGATCTTGCTGCAGATTGAAAGGTGGAGGCACTGCACATGCTGGCCGCGATCTGGGCACTAAAAGATGCCAACTGTGCAGCATTGCTGCATTGCCAGAACCTGGTCCTCCACAAATCCGCTTTCCATCTTTCATTTCTCTGAGAGACGTTCTTTATTCAAATGGACCAGACCCTGTTGTGTAGAAGTCGATAGTGGGTACGCGAGTGAGACAAACACTGGGACAAACAATGAACACACTGTTCTTGTGTGGTTGGGTAACGACACAGCCCTCGATAGTTGACACGCAATTAATGGAATTCCATCATCGTCAGCACACCCTGGTGTCTCATGGGCATTGTCCCAAAACTTCTGCCCAAAACATCTAAGACCCACATGGGCCCCAAGTTCCTCCCGTCGGCCGGCACGCGCACACAGTCAATATCCTAACCTCACCCGCCTTCAAAACAGGAAGACAGGTCACGACCCTCTGTCGCGATAGGCGGTGATCGGCATCCCTGACAGGCGAGATGGACGCGGAAAACCCAGCGGCTCGTCGAGCGGGTCGCCTCATCTTCGAAGATAGGCCGCGCACCCAACGCGCGTCAGAATCGCGAAGGCGGGCCGCGAAGGCCCCATTGCCACCCGCTATGATCCGCATCCCCGAATGGAAACGCGGAGGCGCAAGACTGGGTTGCTTGTCGAATGTGCCACCTGGTTTTCGGATCGCATGGGCCTTGATCCCCCGCTGGCGTCGCCGCCGCCGCTGGTGGCCTCCAAAAGGCCTCGGCCATTTTCCATCGGCGGCCGCCCCTCAGCGCTCCGTTCGGAACCCCTCGACTGCCCGCCCTTGCTTAGGACGGTTCCCTTCACGGGCCGTGCGCAGGTACCCAATACACAGGTGTTGGATGGAAGGGTACTTAAGGGTCGGACTACACTCCTCTCCCCCCTTGGTCCTGGCGCTTTGGTAGTGCGGTGACACGAGCATTGGGTGCCCAATTCGATCTCCGGTCAGACATCCTCTTTACCATCCGCACTGTGGCAACAGGGTGTTTCCGTGCAGTGTATGTACGGGGTTGCCGTATACGCCCGGGCCTCTGTCCGTATTGGAGCCCCGTCCTGTCCACTGTGTTGCCTCCTGTCGTTGCCAGATCTCCCCCTGGGCCTGACGTACCTCACTCGCCTTCCCGTGCGCACTTGCTCGGGAGGTGGCGCCCTTTGTCTGACCCGTTTGCCCTTTCGCCGCTTCCGGCACTTTCCCCCCCCTCCCGGCGCTTTCATTTTTCGTGGCTCTTGGCGTTCTCCGCTTCCCAACCCATTTCGTATCTCAAAAACCGCCACTTCGCGATCTGAGAGCAGAAGGCGCCAGAATTGGAATGCGCAGGCTGCTCAGCCCCAAGAGCTGGGGCTGTGGCGGTCAGCTGCCGCGCATCGCCGAGGCCGCGGAGGCGTCAGGCAAAAAATCCAAAAAAAGCGGCGAAGGAGGGGAAGAAAAAGGCGAAAAGGGCGAAAAAATCGGCGCAGGAGATGAGATGGGCGCGGGGGGGCACGGGGGGGTGGCTGGGTCGGGCGGATCGCCGGAGGCGGGTTGCGGGACGGAGGTGTTCTGCGTGCAGGCACTGGACGGCGAGTGGCGTCAGGTGAGTGAATCAGTGGATGAACATCCTCACAGGCAACACGAAAAATTCGACACGTTGGTCATGTCAAGTGTCTCTGCTGAACTCCGATGGTCAGACAGCGGCCCCTTGCTAGCGTCTACACCTGACCTCACAATGATTGGCAAAGACCCCACCCCCACGGCATCAAGGAACACAATGTACATTGTTTCACAGACAACGGCACATTGAAGAGAGGAACCCGATGAAGCGCCAGGTGGGTGGAGATTTGTTGTGGATGAAAGCAGAGGTGTTGCGCTTGAAAAGAAAGCGGGGCATGCGGTGAGAACACGAAGGTTTGTCGCGCTTCAGAAGGGGGTGCTCCACTTGAAAAGAAAGCGGGAGACACAGTGAAAACTTGGCGATTGTTGCACTTCAAACATAGATGTTGCGCTTGGAAAAGGACAGCAGGGCTTGCTGTGAGAACATGAAGACTTGTTGCCCTTGTAAATGAGTGCTGCACTCCAAAAGGAACCAGGACATACAGCGAAAATGGGTCCCAGCGGTGAATGCCTTTGTTTGACGTTGCCTGGAAAGGGCAAGGTAGTGCCCCTGCGCCTTGTAGGCGATGATGAACGTGTATGCATCCAAGAACGGTTTTTTGGTCCCTCTCAGCGAAGAATGGCATCGAGTGGGGGCAATGAGAAGGATGTTTTTGTGGAGTGCAGATAAGATGGTGTGCATTTCTGGAACTTGAAACTTTGCAAGGTCATTTTTCCCTGTGAAAGAAGATGTGGAGGTGAATCAGTGATTGAGTCCATCTCATTCAACACCGAAAACAGCGAGACCATAATCGCTCGCCTGTCTACTGAGTTCAGATCATTTAAGGCATCAATTTTCCTGCGGTCTTCAAGAATGTCACAGTACTTGGCTAGAAAGAATTCCACCAACCAAATCAAGAGACAAGGTAGGAGAGCATGTCGAGGGACAAAAAGCAGACATGTCCACAGGCGAGAAAGGAAAAGAATTGCCGGGACAGAAATGGAACCATGCCAGTGAGTGCCCCACTGCTGAACAGAAACACATCCGCAGACTCCTTTCCATGATGTCAAAATGATGTGCAAGTGGAAAGGTAAACAACACAGATAGGCAATTGTGGCCAAAAGACATGGACAATTAGACAATGCGCATGTCAAGTCCACCACAACTAGGTTGGGCACAGTGTTGGACATATTGGCCTGCTTATCTGAGGCTCAGGATGGTTGCTGCTACTACCAGTTTGCAACTGCCAACTTTGAGGGGGAATCAATGTCAAGCGGATCCTTGGTTGATGCCCTCTGGGGTCTGCTCTGCTGATGACGATCAGCACGACAGTGGAAGAGTTGCAAGTGCTCGCCATCATCAAGCAATAACAGCACACCATGCTGTCAGCCATTTCACCATGCTTCAGACCAAACCAACCTTCCCCACTGTTTCCATACCTCTTTGTGACGTGTGATGATGAGTCCTGGGAGGCCTTCCTCCTCCTGCCCTGGACTATTTGGAACCTGAAACCATCAATATCATGCGGACATCAGTGGGGGGTTATAGGATGCACACCTACCACAGAGTGTGGGGAATAGCACGGATACTCTAGATAACAGGAGTGGCAGTCCGACGATGTCCGACGTCGTGGATAGTTGTCCGACATGTACACAACACGTAGCCGCTGAAGTACAAACCTTGGGCTGGTGAGAATAGCATCGTGATGGCGTATGTGCAACTTTATGCAGCGTAGCACCAAGATAGAATCATGGCGAATAATGCGCTTGGAAAGATGCGAGTGTTGGCAGCAGGCTTGTTCTTTGGGCGGGGGTAGATGGGGATATAACGCCCACTAGCCTGATCGATCATACTCATTCGTGCTTGTAAGCACTAATTATTGTTAATTAACATGGGGCAACTTCGGAT